ACTAATTTTAAAACAGGATCCTTAAAAAGATCTTTAGAAACCTTTGACATCAAGATGTAAATCAGTAACTGGTGGATTGAAAAATAAAAGCCAAAATTCTTTTCAGCAACTCCCACCAAGAGGTCAACTCCTCCAGTCCTTGAATCTGGGCTGCCCTTGGGCCTTGCTTTGCTCAACCGAATGCAGCAGAAGCAAAGATGTGAAGCCAGGGCCTCAGAGGCTTGCCTGCTTTGGCCTGCACCAGAGAACTCTCCACCACCACCATGTGAACAAGCAGGGACTAGCCTGCTGGAGGATGAGGGGTGGGGAGCAGAGATAAAACCATCACATTACAGCCGAGGGACACGTGAAACAGCCAGCTGATCACAGATGCACAACCAAGCCCAGCCCAGAGCAGCTGAAGCTGGCCCATATCAACAGAACCACCTGGATGAGCCCAGCCCAAATAGGGAAGCAAATTTAGGATGGGTTTGTTATGCACCAAAATTAATTGATATGATGACTGTTTTCCACAGCACTTTATTTACAGTACAACAAAAGTTGTAAAAGTCTAAAATGGGATTTATGGAACATTTAAAAATCTTTAAACTTTTTTTTTTTTCCTCTCTTTGAGGTGGTTAAATAGGCTTAGGTGTGAACAGATTCAATTAAATTTCCTTTTCTTGTTTTGATGAAGATGATATGATTAGCTATAAGAAAAGACCTCTACCACAGATAGTTAGCTTTTCAACATGAAACTCTATAAAAAGTTTATTTACAGAACATTAGAAACTTACAACACATATTCACATAAAAAAAACTATAAATAAATACCTGCAAAAGAGCTGAAATATGAGTAAACTTTCTGGCCATTCGAGTTACTTCAGGCAAGAAGGAGTACAGTAGGTTGGTTTCCAGCTGTAGAATCCAAAGAATAAAGTGCAGTCAGAATCAGGCACACCTGCGTCTTTTAAAGGTAATTAAGTCCCTTCCAGCTCAAAAACGAACAAAAACAAAACCCAAACCCACTGCCACTGAGTCGATTCCGACTCATAGTGACACTTATTGGGTTTCCAAGGCAGTAAATCTTTATGGCAGTATGACTGCCCCATCTCCCCCCGGCAAGTATCAGAGAGATGGTATCAGAATCCTACTCTGTGAACATAACACAGTTCAGAGATTAACAGAACAACATTTCAGTATTTTCTAAAGTGCTATCTAACTGTGCGCAGTCTCCCCCTGTGGTGTCATCAATTCCCTCCCACCTACCAAGAATAAATGTAATAGTATAGTTTGTAACACTATTATGAGGAACTTAAAACAGAGCACATATACATATATAAATTCTTGAAGGAAGTAAAAGGAATTATAAGCTATTGATAAACACAAGTAAAATATCTATTACAGTGACATTATATAATCATACATATATATCCCATCTATATATTTTATATATATACACACACACACACACACACACATACATGTTCTGGTTACCTAGTGCTACTTTGACAAGAATATACCACAAATGGGATGATCTTAACAAACAGGAGTTTATTCTTACAATTTGGAGGCTTCAAGTCCAAATTCAAGTGGCTGGGTGAAAGCCCCTCAACCTTGGGGTCCAGCTCTGCCCCCTGCACCCAGCCCACTGGAGCTAGAGGCGTTTCTTCACTCACACAGCTGCTGGCTGCTGAGGCTGAGAAGCCCCAAGGATGACAAGTAAAAAGGCACAGTCCCGATGCTACCAAACCACATGGCAGGCCATTAACTTAAGTCCACTTAAGTCCCAAGGCCGACACAGCACAGCAGGGTGCTGAACAATGACACAGCTACATGCAGGGTCCAAGCGTGCCATAGGCTAGAGACCATTCCCAAGGCTTCTCCTTATACACAGGAAGCAGACCACATC